TTTTTTTTGGAGTCAATCCACGGATTCGCGTTTCGGTCCGGTTAATAAATAAAACATTAAAGTAAACGCTAGAAGCAAAGGCATCAATCTTCCTCGAACTACCCTCCCAACTTTTCCTACGTCTCTATCCGTGCGAAAGTTAACAGGATTGATTTATTGGGGGGAATAATTGCCCGAAAACGAAAATAAAAATACGCCAGCAGATTCTGACGAAACAACTACAAAAAGTGTGAGAAAACCACACACTTGGGAATTATTTTTTTTTTATTTAAAGGTCAATGCTTTCAGGATGCTCTTACTGAGAAATTGATACAAATCTCGGCGCATATCGAAGTTTGCAATTTCAGTTTGAGTTGTGTTTTCGATATAACCACTCAAATCAATCTGGTAAACACTTAGGTCGACACATTTTTATAATAAATATACAAGATATTTTTGTGTCCCACCTATCTTGAACTTGTATTTCTTTTTTCTAAATTAGATTCAATGACAGCTGTCGAAGTTAAACCATATGAAAGACATTATTACAATTCTGTATTTTATTGTAATTTAATAATTTAAATGGTATTATTATTATATATTAAGAATTCAACATTTTCAGTTTATTATAATAATAATTATTATTATGAATTTGAATAGACGGATTTTAATTCGTTTTTTTGTTTTGACAGCTGTCACACACGATGACAATTACGATTCAGAAAAATAAGGATTTGTCTTTTTTTATGGAAACAAGACGATTAATTTATTTTATGTTATTCGATAAAACCATCCTATTTGAGCATTCAATAAATTTTGCGACTAGCAATTACATCAATTTATTACCCGGTGGCAGATTTCTTTCACTGCTGCAAACTTAAATACAATGTATAATTTCATGTTATCTTAATGACTGAATGATTGAAACGTAATAATAAGTTTAAGAATCTTTCCTTAGTAAGATTAATTACTGATACGTTTATACAAATCAATCCTATCTAAAGAAACTTTTACAGTCTCAACTGGAACGTTTAGTATTATTGCATACTTACATTCTTAAATTTTAGTTCCATTTTATTTACAAACAATTCCAATGCTTTATAATATAAAGAATATTATGTTTATATAAGTATATTCTTTTATCAGTTTCGTTCTCGTTTATTGCTTTAAACTTCCTTTTTTACATTTGTAGTAATGAGATTTTCTCCACAAAATTTAGAAAATAATTATTTCTTTCGCGTTGATTGTAAAAACTCCTCAGCTCAAATTATACTTTGACATTACAAACCGTTCTTATGTATGATTGTAATATTCTTCTTCAATATACAATGAATATGTACTAATTATTTTGCATGTTGTTTCATTAGATATATTATATTAAATTGTATTTCTGAAACTAACAGCATTTCAATTATCTGACCTTTAATTATCGTGTTTACTTCATGTTGTTGCAGAAATCCTTTTACATTTACACACAATTCCACATATGCATTAACCCATTATAAGGGAATTATTTACTTGCATAGAACCAATTAGAGTTCGCATTTCACATCATCAATTACTTCATTAGCACTATACAATATTTAATTAGTATATAAAACCTTCTAACAATTACATATGCGAATTAAATACATAAACGAATCAATTAGTAATCAAATCTTCTAATAAATACATGTTAGCGCAAAGCATAATATAAAATATCTGGTTATTCCGTATAGTTACATATACAACTTGTAAAAGTATAAATATTTTGCCTCATCTATATTGAGTTGTCTGGAAAATTCATGTTAATTTTCGGTAGGTGTCGTGGAGGTAAGTCTGAGGTATACTTAAAACCAACTCGTATCATCATGTGAGAGTTTCAAATCTTAACAAAATGAAAAATGCCATTGCATTTATGGAAGTCGATAAAAACTAAGAAATAAGCTCGCGAAGATTGAAAAATACAAATGACTTGCGTTCATATTCTGAAAGGTAATATTTCAACCATATTTAGAAATAATTTTAGTTAAGATACCGTATTAGCCCACTTTATGCATTTCTCGGATTGCCTAGTTATTTTATAAATTACTTGTTTAACTTGTTATTTCATGCTGTATTGCACATTTATAATATATAAAAATAAATATAATTTTATAGACTGTTGAATTATACACTATACTGCTGACATATACACAAACTAGGCGAACTCACTACATAGTATATAAAAATGCAATGTTTATTTTAAGGAACTGAAATTTAGCGGAAAGCTGCTGCTCCGAGAACAAACAAGAGACGCCAAAAATCAACAACCTATGTTGTTACAATCCTGCTGCGGATTTGCGACGTCGCTCAAAAATACAGGGAATCAACAAGTCTTCGTTTGTTTAGTGTCTAATGGTAACTATTAGTAGCCCAACCCCAATAGTCCATATCTAAGCGTTATTGTTATCATTATTATGTTCATTATTAGAGCGGTGTCAGCTTCCTCGAGTAAATAAATAGATGAGATTTTCATGAGGGAGGAGTGAGGCTTGCTCTAATTGGGGACAGGCTCAGCTTCTTGTTGTTCGTTGTTTTCAGGGGTGGGCAGGTGCGCGCTGCGTTCAGAGGGTAGCAGGTGGGGTGCGTTTTCCCAGTTAATAATGTAGTTGGTATATATCTATATATACACACGAGTATAGTGCTGTGCGGTTTAGTACTGTAGTGGTAGATCAATATTTGGTCGTCCAAGCGTTCGTTGCTCAACCCGCGTTATTTCTTATTCGGCTGTGAAAACAACGACACCTTCGGTCAAAGGTCAGCAGGACTACTCGAGCCAAAACAGTCCAGCTCCCACAGATCCGAGCACCTTCGACAAACAACGGACCCTTGACCCTCTCAATCCGTTCGCAAACAAATTTATCACCGAGGAAAACCTGTCGCATCCGCTATACCGACATTATTACCCTCTCCATCCGTAACTTAAATCCAATTAGCTCTCCGCGCTAATTATTCGTTCGTTCAATTATATATTCTTTTTTGTCCTCGAAACATTACAAACAGCAAAACGTACTTTAAATTCATCTCATGTTTCTTTTTTCTCTCTTTCTCTGTAAATTGAATTAAATATAAAATTATTCCAGTGTCTAAAAAGTGAATAAAGGGATAGCGCTGCAGCAATACTTATAAATAGAGTGTGATTTAAAAGCTCGGGGATTGCATTTCACCGGCGCGTTTTAAAGGTTAATTTTATAGTAAAAGGTTCTTTGGAAACAAGTAGAAGATTTAATTTTTTGATGAAGAGGGAAAATAAATTGGAACGCTTAATGTATATTTAGAAATTAATTTATTTCAGTTGCGTGATACGATTTGCATACAGTCGGTTCTAGTGTCGTGCTCTCCTTTGAGAATTAACTGGATTTGCTCTAACGTTTTCCCTTTGGTTTCCGGAATGAAAAGAGCGGTGAATAGGGCGGTTAACGAGCAGGAAATACTGAAGATGTAAAAGGCGACGTGCATGCCCACGCCCTTCTCCATCACCTGGAAAAGGTAGATGGTTATGGCTCCGAAGAAGACGTAGGTGAAGTCCGAAAGGGTCATGCCTTTTCCTTTGACGCTCGTGGGGAAGAGTTCGCCGGTGAGGACGATGGGTACTGAGCCTAAACCCATCCTGAAGGCAGCTGCGTAAGTGAAAACTGCGGCAACAGGAACCCAATTGTATGGAAGAACGTCGTAACCTAAATGTTTGTAGGTTAAATAAACAGCGAGAGAGCCCAAAGCTACTGAAGATGTGAGACTAGAGGTGATTAACAGAAGTTTTCTTCCGCATTTATCCATAACGCAAGCGGATATCACCATGGATAAAAGCATGATGATAGCGAAGATTATAGCTGAAGAGTTCTTATCGATGATTCCTTCAGCATCCTCAAAGATGGTGTGAAGATTCATCAGCAGGACGCTTATACTGCTGAGATGCTGTGCCACGTTAAGAACGGTCAATATGATTAGCGCTTTGCGATTGCTGGGGACGATGAAGATGTCCTTGAACTTTCCCCTCTCCGCCGATTGTCTCGCTACGGCCGCTTTGATCTGCTCCATCTCTTCTTTAACATCTACGCTCCTCCGCAACCACCGCAGCGAATCATCCGCCTCATCCTCCCTTCCTTTCAACAAGTTGTAGTACGGAGTTTCCGGCATGAATGGCAAAGTTATTAATTGCGCCACGATGAATGCGGCTCCGACCATCGAGGAAACCTGTATCGAGACGAACGGTGCCACCGAGTAACAGATGACTATTCCTATTAGCAACATGACATTGATCGAGGCCACGAGGAATCCTCTGATCTTTTGATCGGCGATCTCGGCTATGTACATGGGACCTGCAAATGTAAATTAATCAATCAATTGCAAAGCGAGAGAATTTGACTTGAATGCTTACTGGCGACGAAAGCTACGTCGGCTCCTAAACCAGCGAGAAATCTGGCCACATGCAGTGTGGTTACGTTGGTTGCGAAAGCAATCATTATCCAAGAGAGCAAATTGTTGATGGAAGCGAGTAGGATGGAGCGTTTCCTACCGAATCTATCCACTGCGAACATCGTCAGAGGTAATCCGGCAATTCCTCCGATCATATAAAGTAATTCCAGCCATTGCTCGTCCGTTTCCGTTATAGGAATCGGGGAATCACTGGAAGACAATATTGGGATGACAGGTGAGGCCCAGCTGAAGTGGATCCCATCCGAAATCGAATTTATCGTCGCTAAAGAAGCGAACCAAAGAATATTAGATAAAAAAAACATTGAAGAAAAATACAAACCTGCCATAGCGGCGATGACCTGGGTAGACCAAGCATAATTTGATGCACTTTTTACGAACATCTTAAAATTACAATTTCCAAATGATTATACAAGTATTACTGACACTTTCAAGGTTTGCAAAATGAGATGCTTTTATTTAAGAATTTGCGAATGAACTGTTTAAAGCTAATCTACCGCTTTGAATATATCCTGTAAATTCCACACTATTTAAACAAAACTCGTATTGTTGTAACAGTAAAAAAATCAAATTAATCCGCATTTATCTTAAAGAAAATTTGATTAGTAAAACTATCTCCGCACGAGCGCTTAGTATAAATAAATATTATTTTATAATTTTATTTGTACAAGGAGTAAAATATTTTTGAATAACAAATCTACATTTGCTATGAGAAAGAAGAAATCTTATCTGCTGCTTAACTTTGGTATATAATCTTTGTTAGCACGCGCTCATATCATTTATTGGGTTAAATTAAATAAACTTGCTTTTTTCTCAAAAAAACTTTGACCAAAAAATATAAAACATTCAATTTGTCTCTAGTTTATTTTTTTTTAATTATTTCTTAAAATTGATGAAGCTAATATAAATTAAAATTAACGAATTACTGCGAGTTATATAGCGTTAGAGTTAGAGTTATGCAATCATATGTACTCAAACCCATTAAGCAATGGTTTTTGTTAATTATAATTATCAATATGTGTTTATTATTTTTTCTCTGCTTTATGTTTTGTTAGACTGCTGTAATAAACGTTATTATTATAATATTTACTCAATTTTATTAGAATTTTGTTTATATAACATTGTTCATTTTTCAAAAAAAAATCTTTGTTAGCTTAAGTCGTTAGTTGACATCTTTACAGAAAAATAAGGTTCGCGTCGAATAATATTTTGCAAAAAGAAATAAAAATATTATAAATAGCTAAATTTGTTGTTTTATAATGAAAATAGAATATCATATTTAGATTATAATATTGGTTAAATCGAATACTATACAAACACTCGACTAATTCAATAGTCTCAGAATAGAAACAATAATTATTTAATTAAACTAAAGGAATATTTATTATTAAATAAAAAATCAATCGCATCAAACATGCGAACGAGAGCGGACGTATTTTAGCTCCAAGTCTTATAGTATTTTAGATTGATATTTTTTATTTATGTTAGGAAGGTTGGGGAGTCTGCCTGTTATGGACACTGAGGATATCTCATCACAACACTCGGCTATCGGCCGGCGAAGAGGAAAAGGGGTAGACCCATTGTGTTGAGCAAAAACCGTGGAAATAATACAAGAGTGTAATACTGGATTGGAGTGAGAGTCAAACGCGACATCAAAATTCAAAATGCCTCTGTCAATGGGAATCAAACAAAAAACAGAAGACGACGATATTGAGTAAAAACATGTTTCAAGTCCTGAGTAATAAAAATTTGAATGTAGAGAGCACAAATAACAACAACAACAACAACAAAAAGAATGAAAGCCGCCGCCGTTGATTTTGCCGTAGACATCAATGAATTAGGATCAGCACGGTTACTTCTTAAAGATTGTCAGTAGGGACAAAGTTAAAAGTCACACCTACCAATTGAAGGAGGAAAGTAACTACAGGACGTAGAATCAATGAAGAAAGAGATTGAAGAATACGAACACGAAGTAAAGTATATAATCAACATAAGAAGCCGTCACAGTAAAGAACCATTGCCGCTGTTCTTCGTGGACAATAATAAAGACATCCACAAAATATTAAGGTGGTGATAGAGGCGCCGCACCGCAGATACGATATCCCACAATATACGAGATGCCACTGGATCGGAGTGCGAGCGGCTCAAAAATTCAAAATGCCGTTGCGGGTGCGAGAGTGAAACAAAATAAAACAAAGACGGAGAACATATTTACTAAAAAGTGATATCAGGTCCTGAGCAATTAAAATTTAAATTTAGAGAGCACCGTTTCACCAAGAAACCGTTGCCACTGTTCTACGTTGACTTAGCGCCGAATGCGAACAACAAAGACGTCCATAAAATATTATACCTGCAGAGCATAAATGTGGTGATCGAAACGTTGTGCTGCTGAAGTGCGGCAAGAAACACCTCACCGCGGAGTGCCAGAAGGACAAATCAACGGAAGCAACGTGTGCACTTTGCAGCGGCAAACACTCTGCCAATCACAACAGCTGTACAGTGTACAGGGAGATGCAGTCGTAAGTTCCCAAAACTGAGGGAGAAGAAATTGTTGCCACCGACCAGTGCGCCGTTTCAGCCTCCGCCGTCCCAACCCAAGGAATACCCAAGGATCAAACCAAGCCTCTCCTACGCTGACGCAGCCAGCGATAGGATCAACCACAAGTGCATGCAGCCCAACAGCGAAGATGAAGTCAGACCACAACAAGATCCGGTAGCACGGCTGGAGCTCACGATAGCAAAACTTTTACACAAAATCGACACGCTGCTGAATGTCGTAATGGCTCTCATGTCGAAGTTGATATAATGGCTCACGCAATTCGGCTGGTCATGTGGAACGCTCAGTACAATGACGTCCCAGGTAACCACTATAGCTACTGGCATCAAGTTCGCAAAGTTGTATTGGTTGATCGGCAGGAAATCTCAGCTATCCCTCGACAACAAACTTGTAATATACAGAACAGTGCTGAAGCCCGTGTGGACATACAGCATCCAGCTTTGGGGAACAGCCAGTAATTCCAACATCGAAATCCTGGAACTCTTCAAGTACATGTGCCTGAGCACCCTGGTGCAAGCACCCTTTAACATACCAAACGACACGATACACAACGACCTCCACATAAATACCTCAACCCAACTACATAGTGGAGTAAGTGAAAGTGCTTAACTTTCTGCTAAAAAACTTGTATAAATATTAAGGAATAAAATACAAGACAAACATCAATTTTAAAAGATATTGAGTCTGAAAAATATTATAACCATGAAAGTAGAATTAGAAAGGTATCTGTAGAGCAAACGCAAGGATATGGTTATAGATGACCGTGTTTACTACGAAATCCAAGTTGGTGATTTGGTATTAGCTCGCTGTCGTTTATGCCAATGGAAACAGACTATAGGTCTATATGATTTTATATCTTCGGGAGCCTTTCCTGCCTTAGGTATTAAAATAATTTGAGCTAGTTTCCATTGAGAAGGAAAGTGTCCAATTCTTAAAATTATATTGATGTTAATTGTGAGTTAACATAAAATATATATTATATGTACTTAAAATATGGAGTATAATTAATGATAATATTAATTTACGTATCAATTATTGTACATATCCATAATGAAGAAATTTTTCTATTGTTATTTAAATGTTTGAATGTGATATACAGAATTAACTGAGATCGAATTTTCCATACTTTTATTATTCAAATTATTATAATATACAATTACTTCATAAACGATAAATAAAAGAAATGTATAGAATTATAAAATTTAACGGTTTGAAACTATTAAATAAATTTTATAAATATTATAAGTAAAAAGGAGATATAAATAATATAAAAAGTAAATTGTATTCTAAATAAATATTTAAATGTTATTTTCAATTACAGCTATACATTTTACATATATATCGTACAAATCGTAATAAACATTCACAGTCAGACACAGGCATTCTTATATACATTGTTAAATTACAAGCAGCGTGTAGTGAATTCCTTCTTCATCTTATCCCAGTTATCTCTGCCCATCTCGTCTTGTATCATTCGGTAAATATGTTCCGACTTTTTCGAAGGAATTACCTGAATTATATCATCATCCAGATCAACCTATAAATAAAACATTTCACATAAGAGTTGAATAAAAAATAATAAATAATTTTAGACATACGTGTAAAATCCAATGCATGGAATTTAAATATTCTACCAAAGTCGGAAATCCATATATTTTGAAGGGAATTTCTATCCCTACAAGATCCAAAAAGTCTTCGACTAATCTGCTTATGGATACATCAGTTGACATAGAGTTCAGTACTGAACGAATCAATGTTTCACATTCCTTGGGGTGCTAAAAATAAAAAGACATATTTATGAAAACAATTTAATCAAAAGTATAAAATCTACACTTACCATTTTAGTAGATGAATGAATTATAAAGTGGATAGAAAATAAGTGAAAAAATATTTCTACTTTAAAGTTCTCTTTACGAAGAGAGTTCAATTGTAACTGATGCTGAAAATTAGTTTTGCAGTGTATTTATACTACATTTACCTGTTATTAGTTTTCTAGGAAAACATTTTTCTTTATTTTATTACAATAGAATTACGTGGAAGTATCCAAAGAGTCGCAGTTTGTGGACCTCTGGTGATTTCTTTGCTTCTGATATTTGTGATGATTTCGACGAAAACAACCGTCTGTAAAACGCGCCATTTTTTGAAATATGACAGAGAACCCTTATGTAAGTTTGCAAAACATGATGAATATTGCTTATTTTGCATTCCGATGATAGCGCCCTCTGTTAGTATTGAAACGAAAAATGCGATGATAAGTATAGTGGGGGTGTTCCAAGAGCAATTGTAAGGCAAGTCGAGAAAGTCAGGTATTCAGTAAAATTCAGTTATACCCCGACGCAGCTCAAGTTAACCCACCGACGTCATAGAAAATTCGTTAATTTCACGTGCAAGAAGAAGTGTATAAATATTAGAGCTTTCATACCATCGAACCCAGAGTTGTGGTTCAAACTTGTAGAAACAACTTTTGAAACTGTAAAAAGCTTCACGGATTCTGGCAAGTTTGAATTAATAATCAGGAGCTTGGACCATATATACCTAAAGATGCTCGAACACACACAGAAGGATCTTTCGGTTGAAGAGATATGCAAAAGTCACATGCATATGCTTATGAAGGAAAATATGGGCAATCGCACTCCGTCATTATATTTAAGAGATCTTCGAAATTTGGCCAGAAGATTATCAATCTTTTCGTATAAATTAGTTATAGAGATTTGGAGAATGCGACTACCGGCCGACCTGCGTACTGCTATGAATG